AGCTCTGACATCTTTTCTTCTGAGCTACATCTTGCTGATGCTATCTTCCGTTCTACACATGTACATCCGAACTGAGGTTGATCTGTTTTTGGACTCGCAGCCACCATATTTATGTGCAGAAAACTTTGAAAAACTACCAAAACGTTGAAAGAAAATCATAGATTTGGATGGCAATTACTACCCTCACTTTTACCCGTCCGGGTGAGCTCAGTACTTTTATTCCTATATGTGGATAAACTGTGCATTTTTTGCTTTAAAAGTGGTTTAATTTTGTTGTTCTTGCGTGCTGGTCCTTTTTTGCCTTTAGTTAATCCGCATGCAACATTTGTAGAATTAACAAAAATTTAAAAGTCGAAGTGATATTAAGCCTAACCAGGCCATATTTGTTTACATTAGAAACTTTTAGTAGAATAGTGAATGAAGTCAGTTGGTGCACCAGCTTCAGTGTCTTTTGCGCAGTTGAACTGAAATTTAGAAAATCTATTAAAATTGTAGAAACTCTATTAAAAATAATTTTTAAACTGTTTTAACTATATTTGGTACTTTAAGTTTTTTTCTGTATTTTACAATTTTTAATGAAGGGGTTTTGAGTTTTTATGCCTTTTGCTATGCTGCGAAATGAGAACTGAATTGATTGAATGAGAAATATATCTCTAAATTGGAGGAAAAATTTTAAATGGAGCAAAAATTTTTATAATGTAATAAGCCGTGGATGGAAGTCATATGTGGTATCCACATCAGATATTTTTTCCTTTGAGATTTAGCAGCTGCACTTTCAGGTTGCTATAGAAATAAATTCCTTGCACATTTTGTTTGCAACTGTTAGTTTACGGCCAGTTTCAACATGAGTTGCAAAAGTAAATACTTTCGACGTATTTTATTTTTTTATTTTCATAAAGGCAAGAAAGAGGCCGAGGATCACAAAGAGATATGGAAAGTTAACGTTTAAGGTTTATGTCAGAATTAGTTTAAAAAATTTGGTTCTGGAGATTCTTCACTTAAAGATGACTAACGTTCTGACCCATCTTTTGACGTTGCTGATGCAAATTAAAGCCGCAATTAAATCGAATCGTCATGTGACTGTGCGGTAGACTGCTAAAAGGTTAAATGTATCACATACAACAACTGAAATAATGATATAAGATGTCTTGGACACGTTAAGAAGCTCGATATTTCGCTTTCGCACGAATTGAAATAAATTTACTTCACACACATACACACACACACACACACACACAACAAAAAAAAAAAAAATGTGCGATACGCATTTCAAACGCAATGCAATCGATCCTTTTCTGAAACGAATTAGCACTGGTGTTGAAAAATTGATCGTGTGCAATAACTTCAATAGAAAATGATCATGATTCAAGCCTGATGAATCAACACAAAACATATCGGAAGATAAATTGCATCAGAAAAACGATTATGCTGTCAGTTTGGTGGGATTACAAGATGTGTATTTTAAACTGCCTCCAAGCAACCATACAATCAACTCAGATGCTTACTGGCAACAACTTATGAAACCGAAAAAGGCAGTCAAAGAGAAAACGCCAGAATTGGCACATCTCCAAGGAATCGTGTTGCGCCACGACAATGAGAGGCCTAACATCTGTTTAGAAATATATACGAAGTTATTTGGAGCTTGGATTGGAAGTGATCTCGGATCCTCCATATAGCCCGACCTTGCACCATCGAATTATCATTTATTTCGAAGTTTACAAAACTTCTTAAAAGGTAAAAACTTCAGTAATAATGATGATCTCAAATCACACTTGGCTGAATTTTTTGCCAATAAAGACCAGAAGTTCTATGAGTGCGAAATCATGAATGGAAGATTATTTGACTTATTAAAGTTAATTTTTTGTATAAAAATACGTTTTATTTCCCACACACGCACACACACACAGAAAAAAATACTTTATTGCCAATCTAATTAATTTTATTGCATGAAATTCCTTTTTCCCAATTTTAAATTTATAGGCATGCTCCGTTTCACGAGACTACACGTTTGGCTTTCAGTAGGGAACAGATAATGATTTTTGTTTCTTTTGCTGACATCAAACCCATAAAACTCATTTTAATTTTCTTCCATAATATTCTACAAAGATAAAGTATGGCATTTATCTATTTTGTGGAAAGCTAAAGATTCTTTCTTCGAGCCTTTACTATTATGCAGATCTTTGCTGGATAACTCTGCGGACATCTAGCTCATTTAGCTTCTAGAAAGATACCAGCCTTAAAAGTTAGTTGGTCCGACTGTTAATTATCTGCAAATTTAATTCATACCTACTGTCAGAGTGCAAAATTTGCTTCAAATTTGCAAATGCACAAAATTATTTGTCTTTTTGAAAAAGATTTTGCTTTTTGGCAAAATTATAAATAACCACCAGCTTTGGATTTTTAAGACTTTATTGCTTTTTATCATATTATCTACGAATTTTTGGGCTATTTGGCAGCTTCCCACTAAAAAATATAGTGGAAGAATGTTTGCTAAAAACAAATGTTAGCAAATTCAACGTATTTCTGATTTGCGTATTTTATTCTACCATCCATCTAAATTAAGCTTGCTCATCAATAATTTTTGACATCTTTTCTTTGGAAAAGACAGTAAACTTGTTTTGTAGTCCTTTCATTTTTTATAATGATTTTAATCTCTCTCTCTTTTAAATATGTATATTAGTCAGAGATAGATCTGAACAAAAAGAGAAACAATAAATAACCTGGATATGATAAAAACCATATAGCTTTTTATCACATCCATGTAACCAATGACCAAATAGTACAGCATTTATGGATATGTGAGATCCTAGGTCTTATTTTTTTATACAGTTATCACCATATAACATACAAGTATACCATATACACTGGTTATCATAAATTAAGGAAAAATCACAAAAATCACGATTACTGAAAAAGTTGCATGTAGAATTTTATGAAACTCACCCACAATATACAACACGTAGTAAGGTATCAAATAACATAAAAATAAATTACCAGACAATTATGGTAGTATAGAAATTAGCACATGTATAAAATGAACAAATCAAAGGTATGAGTTTGCTATAGGAAAAGTACCTTCAATATAGAATATAGTCGCCTCTAGAAGCAATAAAGCGATGCGTGATGCTTTCAATTATGCGGTCTATCAGTTCCATAGGAAGCGAGAGCCATTGCTCTTGCAAACCAGTTGCAAGCGCGGCAAGGGTCTGAGGAGGCGGATTGAGAGCAGTTAGACGTCTTTCTAAAGCATCCCAAACGTGCTCGATAGGATTCAAGTCCGGGGATTGAGCTGGCCACTCCATGGGCATAATTGTTTCCTGTTGAAGATAATCATTTACGATGCGAGCCCTGTGTGGTCTTGCGTTATCGTCCTGTAACAGGAAAGCATCACCTATTGCCCCGGAACATGGGCGCACATAAGCATCAAGGATGTCATCTCTATAAACCGGAGTATTCACGATTTCCGTTGGAAGGACATGGAGGTCTGTGCGTCCACCCAAAGAGATGCCACCCCAAACACAGACACTGCCTCTTTCGTATGATCTCTTTAACGGATGTTTGACGGATGATAACGGGTTCCATGTTCTCTCCATATCAAATAACGCCTACTGTCGCTTTCTAGACTAAACCTAGGCTCATCCGTAAAGAGAACAGCCCTCCACTGCTCAGGTGTCCAGTAGACATGTTGACGTGCCCACTGCAAATGGTCCCTCCTATGGCGTGACGTGAACGGCACGCAAATGGCTGGTCGCCTCGCATACAGACCACCTTCGTGAAGCCTTCTACGCACAGTTGACGTTGACACCAACCTTCCGATGGCTGCAGCAAGGGAGGTTCTAAGAAGAATCGGATTAGCTGTTCTATTCCTGCGTGCACATAATGTCAAATATCGGTCTTCGGCGCTCGTTGTAGCAGTTGGCCGTCCTTGGCTGAACCTCCTAAATGGCGAATCTGTGGTTTGAAATCGCCTCCAAAGTCTATGAACCATGGAGGATTCACATTTAGCCATATGGCCAATTCTGTTTGACTTTATCCTGCCTCTAGTCTCTCATTGGCTCTCCATCGTGGTTCTGCAGGCAAATGATACCTGGAGGTTATTGTTACGAATTGGCTATCTCAGATTTCTGATGTCACTATCAGTGACGTAGCTAGAACTCTTGGGCCCCTGTGCAAAAAATTTTCCTCCCTCCCCAATAAATTTACTGTGCTTAAAAAAAAGGGAGGAAGAAAGTCTAGATTTGCAGAGATTTTTAAATAAAATCCAGTAGGTTTTACATGCAAGTATATTTCGAGTTTCTATATAAAATCTGCGCCAATACAAGTTTTTTTTCGCTTAATTTAGCAAGCTAGTAAATAACTGGTTATGTTATAACCTGACAGACAACGTACAAAAAAGAAATTACACTAATATATAGCGCTCTGTGATCAGCTGAGCTTATGAACATGACTTATGAATAATATAAAAATCATAAATAAGAACTTTTATAATGTAAATGATACATTTATTAAATATAAAACATATTTATCATAAATTCATAAAGAAAACTATTTGAACATACAATTTTTGTAGAAAATAAGTACGGTAAAGTTCCCCCCTTTCTTTTAAGATAACCTTTTGGTACACTAAACTACTCGAATACGTGATTTTTATACGTGTTTTAAGTTTTTATTTTAAGTTTAAATATATAGATGTATTTTAGCAGGACATTCATGGACCCCCTAAGCCTACGGGCCCTATGCGACTGCATTCCTTGCATACCCTTATTTACGCCACTGGTCACTATCACAGGGAAATATGTGGGCTTGCTCTCAAGCATGGACTTTTATTCTAATCGCAGATGACGTATTCCAAGTGCAGCGCCACTAATTTGCATATTGCAGTTTTATTCAGCTACTCTTACTTGGCAACATATTCAAATTTTACACGGTTTGGCTTATTTTTGAGGGAGTTATCCCTATTTTTGTGATTTTTTTCTTAATTTATGATAACCTGTGTACATACCATTTTTATACAAGTGCCATCGTATACAAAGTATCACGAAAGCTTACTTAATTTTCAGAAGCCCGAAAATAATCCCACACGTCCTTGTAATGCCAGGTTGAGTAAGAAGGTGTTTCTACATCTTGACACTCGAGAATAAAATATGACGAGACAACGAAATACGACGAATACAACGAAAAAAGGCGAACATCGTAAAGTTAATAAAATTTAATATTTGATTTCAAAGAATTCTTAGCATTCTTAATATTTTAAAGTCAAGGAAACAAAGAGGTTGTTTAACTTCTTCTTTCATTGATGCTATCAAGGTCTCGGAAAAATATTTAATTAAAATAAAAGGAGAACTTATAAAAATGAAGTTATGCAAGTTAAGAATGAAGAAGAAAAGAATCTTACTAATCACGTGGGTAAACCATAGATTCTCATTGGTTCCTGCTTTGTTTGTTATTTCTCTTGAAGCATGTGATTTCGCGTGCTGAAATTTGAGTGTCAGCAGTTTTCGGTTTCCGCGATTCATTGTAAAAGTTTGTATATATGCATCAAAAGTTAATTATGTTTTTCTTTGGAGTTGTCATTTCAGTATGTGTGCTATTTACACTATGTATGAGTGTAAATCCTGTCAATGACCGGCCAATTATTGGTGAGTACATTGTATTTCGCCATATATGTTTATTTTAATGTGCGGTTATTGATAACAATTTCGAAAGTCTTTCGACCTTTATGTATTGCTAGGTGCTCCTTTTTGATATAGTTATGGAGAGAGAAATATTTTTGGTTGATTTATCCCTTCAAAATTTGGAATTGAGAGTCTCTTTCCACCATTATTATTATTATTTGTATTATTAATTGTTTATTAAAAACTCTTAAAATGTTAATTTTTATGTTTTTCTAAGCAGTTATTTGTATCCTTTGGAAAAGTAGTAGATTCATCAAATCATTTTAGAATTTAATAATGAGCTTATAAAATGAATGAATGTTTGAAGACAAGATTTATATTTACAAATGAACAATTAGCATTCATTTTTGAAAGCATTGTAAGATGTAGGGGTGTAGCTAGAGGGGGGGCAAGGGGGGCATCTGTCCCCGGGCGCAGAATCCAAGGGACGCCAAACTGATGTTACGACATTTTAGAATTAAATGTTTTTCATCCTTGGCAAGCAGTAGGGGGCGCGAAATCTTCACTTGCCCCTGGGCGCTGAAAACCCTAGCTCTACGACTCTGGTAAGATGATAGTTTTCAAAATTGCGCCAAGTCTGCACCGTATACTAGGATTTCACCGTTTTCCTAACTTGCTGCAAACCACATATAGGATCTTGAGGGCCATTCTATAATCACTACCAGTTTGTGTTTGCTTTATTATACTTGAAATTAGAATTCCTCCTTGGTTTTAAAAGACAGGTTATTGATTTAAAAAAAGTATCATATAAGTCTTAATAATTACACATACATGCACATACATATTTCATTTGATATCTAAATTTAAGGTCAAATTTGAAATAAAGGAATTTTGGTCTTAGTTTATTGTGCTGTTAGTTGTATTAAAATTATGCATTTAGTCTTTTAACTGTTATGGACAAGTATACACATAATTAAACCTATGCACTTTCATGCCAGCAACAAATATACTTGCCAGTACACTGAGGTGTGGAAAATTGCAGTTGTTTGAAGTAGATCCAGGAAAAGTGCAGAATCGCCCACTGCTTGGCGCATTTTTAAGAATTGCACATACTCGGTATCCATGTACACATCGACTTATTTTCACTTAAAAAAACATCCCAGACTTGCACAAAAATGGCATTGCGCACTTCCTTGACTTTATCCATGTACACATCGACCTATTTTCACTTAAAAAGTCAAAGAAAATTGACAAAAATATAATTCTTCTTACTCTTGTAAAAAGCGCCAAACAAATAAGTGAGCGATTTTGCACTTTAATTGTAGATTCTGTATTTATACAAGGTTTAATAGCTATTTATTTAGTAAAAAAAAAAAAAAAAAAAAAAAAACTTCTTTTTATATCTGTGTACATTGCATTTAAATTGTGTACACACATGCAGAAGGGGGAATGTGACATTCAACGAGTTAATAATGTAATGTGTTGGTTATTTGTGAGCTGCATTATTAAAACATTTTATAAAGTAAATATGTTGAAGTACATGTTCCATATTTGTACCAGTGACATCATAAGCCATACTAAATGAAATAAAAATAAAATTTATAGACATTATTATACCTCAGAAATTGGCAGAAGAGAAGAACAAAAATAATTTAGAGACAGCCCTTGGCAACTGCTTGTCACTTTTATTATAGCTCACTATTGCATGAGACATAAGGCTAATTTCCATGTGCTTTCCTGCATAACTAATTCTTAACATACTGCCATTGTGGAAAGCACAGGATCTTTAATTTTATCTTTTTTAATTTAATCAGTCTGTCATTGACAGACTAACTGAGTGATTTAAAAGCAGTGTGTTGCCTCTGTATGTAGCAAAAGCCCTTTCATTTTCCACATGGTGTCATTTATACCCATTTTTCTGATTGCTAACAATGAGTAAAATATAAGATCTTTAAATTATCTTGCAAATTTAATTAATATTTATTGATTAATAAAATGAGCAGTTTAAATGTAATAAGAATACTCTTATTGCTTTAAAAAAGTCAGTAATTTAAATCTTTATTTTACTTTTTTAAATAATGCAACTAATTGATCCAAAATAAAATTAATTTAATTATAGTATACTGATAATTTTTTTAAGCATTTGTAATTTTATTAGATTAGATTTTCCATATAAAAGATATTTCTAACACCATATGTTACACATTTGATACAGAATCTTTTTTTAAAAAATTTTTACAGTCATATTTTACATTAAAAAATTTTCTTAACATTAAGATTTATAAATTTTTAATGGAAATTCTTTTTTGGCTCTACTCTTATATGTGTTCTAAGATCACCAAATATGGCGATACGTATTCTGCGCTGGTTTTTGGCACGATTTCGTGCTGTGGGATGGTCTGGTGGACTATGCTGTTTGTATGGCAACCCTTTTGACGTTGAAACTTAACTCTTTTGCTGCAGTGTCGTGCGTGTTTTGAAATGGCCAGTGTTGCAGTGACAGACGTGGTGGGAAGGTTTCAATCGTGTATTTTAGATTGTGTGGAAAGTAAATTGGCTGATCTTTAGAATATGGTAACTGGTAGTTTGGCGACATTTTGGAGGTGATAAAGGTTACTACCTGGGAATTTGGTAATTATGTGAGCAGTACTCAGTTCCGATTATGCATTATTTTGTGTGAGGGAAATGAGAGATCATGGGATATGTCATGTGATATTAATGGACGAATTACGGTTCTTTAATCGGAAAAGGGGGAAATCGGGAAAAAAATCTGGAAATTTTGTATTTGGTTTTTTCTGTGTTGTGTGAAACAGTGTTCGTTAATTTTTGGATCCCATGGCCCTAACTAAAGTGAATTCGAAATGGGTATTTAGTGGGATTGAAAGGAGTAGTAATAAGTGTTTCTTTAAGGTTGTGCGAGATAGAAGTAAAGATGTTTTATTAAGTTATTTATTTTACCTGGTACCGTGCTGTGAACTGTAAGTATGATTTTAAAGATCCTGAAACAGGCGCACATACGTTTTCTTTTTATTTAGCGGAGAAAATAAGAAAAGTTTATCGGACACGTAATCAAGATTCTGAAGAAGATTAGGTAAGTTAGTATTTTTAATTATTTGAGGATATTATTTTTATGCATTGTTCTAAATGTAAGGTGGAAGTAAAGTAATTTGGTATTATTGGGAAAATTGTTATTAGCAATGATTTAGTTTAAAGTAATTAGGATTGTAAGCTAATTTTATTAATTTAATGTATGTGTTTATTTATATTTAAGTAGTGTTTTTGAATTTAATTATATTTTAATTAAATGATAGTTATTTTGTGAATTTTATGTTTGTAGGAATTTGGTATAACGTTTTAGTTGAAGTAAACGTGCATGGAAATAATTTAAATATTTGACGCTAAGTATTTGTAATGCTTGCGGTATGAATTCGTTGGTGACGTTTATAATATAATAGATGATTTAGAGGTAAAAGTTTTTTGATATTTATTTATTTTATATGTGGAAATGTTCATATTTGGAAAGGGTATATATACTTTTCGCGATCAGGTAATTTCATATATGTTCTTTTTACCGGGTTTAAAGATTCAGAAAATTGTCATGTATTTTCGTGAAATTTTTCTAATTTATGAGAAAAAGGCAGTGTACATGGATATAGTGAAGAGTATGCGCAATGCCATTTTTGTGTAATTCTGGGATTTTTTTTAAGTAAAAATAAGTCGACGTGTACATGGTTTATGTGTATGTGTTATTTTGAAAAACGCGTAAGGAGTATGGTATTGTGCACTTTTTCCCAATTTTGCAGTGAATATTTTGTCATGATTAAGCATTTTGTTAGATAAAATTTCTAGCATAAGTGTAATTCGGCTAGTAGATTGTTGGAAGAAGTGTTCAGTAGATAAAAAGAAAAGAAACATGTTTTTACTTCGTGAAGACAAAATGGCGGCGGGAAAAAAAAAAAAAAAATAGAGGGTTGCTGTAGGAGAGTTGGTAGCCAAATTTTCGCCAAAAAATCCCCAAGTTACCATAATCTAAAGATCAACCAGTAAATTTAGTATTAAAAGGTACGATGTTGGAATTGTTAACGAGTCTTTTGTTCACGGGTGTGTTTATGAGGATCAAAGTGCTTTTTTGGAATTTCTGTGGTACTTTTAAAACGGAGTGTGAAATGCGGAGCTGCTATGAGAACTCGGACAAAGAAGGACATTTCTGATAGTTCTTGTGTGGATTTGCAGTCAAATGCTTGCTGGTAAAGTATGTGGTTGTCAGCGGAGTTTAAGATTTGGATCGTGGTTTTCGTGTAGAACTTTGGATGAAGTTTTTATCTGTACTTTCAAAATTTTGAATTGCAGAAAGACATGTGATATAGCAAAATGGTGGCACTTTTGTTCACAGACGTTGTGTGACTGGCGAAATTCTATTAACTAATGTATTATGGTAAGTGCATTTTATTTTACTGTTTTTATTTTGTAGAATGTTATATTCATTGTTTTTTTTTTTGCTATGAATTTCTGTTATTGTTGTTTTTCAATTATTTGTGATTTTAGTTATTTTAGTTTATTTTGTTGATTTGTGTGCAATGCCTAGATTGTGCAATTCGTAGATGATTTTTTTAAAAAGTTTAATCAGGATGCTGTGTACATGGTATTCTTTGAAATTTATTGTTGTTATGTTAATTTTTTAAAGTGAGATGTGCATAGTTCGTAGATTCTTTCGCTGCCTAGATTGTGCAATTCGTAGATGTTTTTTTAAGTTAAAACACATTGCTGTGTACATGGATTCTTGTCAAATAGCTTTGGTTAGAAACTTTACGTTTTTGCTATCTAAATTTTTTATTTTTGTTTCGGATATTTAGCTTAAATTGTGTGTTTAAAATGTGGTTTTTGCATGTGCTGGTTTTGGAGACATTTTAGGCTTAAAGTTTGAAATGTAGACAAACAATTTAGATAGTTGGCGACTTGAGGGCGCATATTAAATATATGAGGCGCATAATCTAATATAGGAGTAGTTCCTTCTTTTTTTTTTTTTTTTTTATTAATGTATAAGTTCTGAATATTTTTGTAATATATGCACATAATCTAATATAGAGTAGTTCTTTTCTTTTTTTTTTTTTTTTTTTTCTAGTTGTTGTAATTCTCTGAAGTTTTCTGAATGCATTTTTGATCATCCTTTTTCTTCTTCTTTTTTTTTCTAGTTTATTTTACAGCGTTCAAAGCAAGGTACATATAAATAAAATATTCAGATTTTGTTTTAATTGTAAATCTAGCATTTTAATCTTACTTTTTAATCTTGCTTTAACTAATAAAGCAGAACTTTATTCTAGAATAAAGTAATACTAGTAACTTTTATCACGCACCCCCAATTAAAAAATGAATTTTTTTAAACATTTACTAAAAGGTCATAAAACATTATATGAAAAAAAAAAAAAGAGTCATTTGTTAAGACTGAATTTAGTAACTACAGAAACAAAAAAGTAATAAAATTTAGCAAACTTTAATAAGATAAATATGAAATTAAATAATTAAAAATAAAATAAAAAAAACAAAATCTGAAATGTTTCAGATTTTAAATTACGTCCAAAGGGGCATTTTTTAACATTTTGTGTGTTACCTTTCTTTATTAAATATCATGTTCCTCGCACTTAAACCATAAGATCCAGTGCAACAGCAATATCGCAAAATAGTTTTAAAACGAGCATATCTTTAGAATTTCCGATACAGAGACTCACGCGCTGGAGATAAAAATGTTTTTTCTGCACAACGTTGCCATTGCTCGCTTTGAAATCCTTGAGTTTGTTAATCAAAAATTCGTCAAAGTTTTAAAAAATAGGAAATCGATCATAAAAGAAATTTCAAATTTGGTCTTCCACATGCTCATATTCGTTGGAGGATTACGTTATTCAAAATTCGATGACTCTATGTACCGTTGTTTTATCACAATGCGAGAAATAGACATACATTTATGCAGATTTTTCATTATTTAATTTCTTCAAATATAATGCAGGACTCTAACATTTTGTGGCAACAGTTTGAAAAGTGAACCGACATTTATGAGTCCGACGCAAAATGCCAAAAACGAAACTAGTAGTCCTTCGGGATTCAAATCCCTTTGGACTAAAAAAAGCAAAAGATTGAAAAGATGCATGCAACTGAGATCAATCCAGAAAGATAAATTCCAAACTATATTTGTGCAATGAATATTCATGAAAAACAAATAAATAAATAAATAAAACTTCGTCCTTATTCATCCCTCTTCAGAATATATGAATACTGTTATTACTCTAACCATTACTAACCAGTCTTACCAGAAGGTTTCATAGACAGATATCTCATGATACACAAACAGTAGCCATCAGGAACAGAGTAGAAGGGAAAAAAAGCATTGCTATAAATACTACTAATATTCTAACAGAAGCTGATAAGCTATAATTCTTAGATTAATTACAGGAATATTACAAGAATATAATACTAAAAAATATAAAATCCATTTTACTTGCAGCTTTTTTTAAACCAAGAAAGGCACTTAAAAATAGGACTGTGGCCGGGAAGGGGGAGGGGAAAGATGAAAGGGGCTGTACTGTAGAAAATCATATATAGTTATCCTTTTTAAAAAAGAATATCCCTTCCTAATGTGCCAATAATTATTTTATGTGATCCCAAGCAATGCAGTTTTATAAATGATAAATAATTCTGTGTGATATTTGAAACTTTTAGTTTTTGCTTAAATTTTTTAACCATATTTTATTTCGTACTTCTAATCTATAATGTTGCATTATGAAAATTATTTTAGTAGATGTCTGTTATTATGATTTTTTGATGCAGGAGACGTGAAAAATTAGCAATGCCCTCACCGGGACTCGAATCTGGACCCCTCGAATATGTGCCAAGTGTGCTACTGTTTCACCATGAAGTCATGCAGAAAGGAGGGGGGAAAAACCTTATATACTGCCCTTTTTAAAGAACGACTGGGAATTAGGGGACCCAATTGCCAAATCCTGGTGGGGAAGTCATTAGTTTCATGACATCATCCACCACCTTTTAGTTTGGGTGCCACTGTAGAGTCATTAGGATTTTTTGATGCGGGAGATGTGAAAAATAAGCAATGCTCTTGCTGGGACTCGAACCTGGACCTCAGGAATATGTGCTGAGTGTGCTACCATTACACCATGAAGGCATGCAGAAAGGAAGGAGAAAATACCTTATATGTATACTGTTTGAATAAGTATATATGAGTATATCCCAAACATTGGAGAATATGTGCTATGAATTAACAAGTTGAATAGATAAGTATGGTTAAGATTTATTTATGTTTGTTCTAAGTCTTATCATGAAACTAATGACTATTTTGAAATTAAATAAATTATTAATTGTAGATTTAAAAAAAAATTTTAAAAATTAATTTCTTAGATTTAAAAAAAAAAAAAAAAAGATAGTGATTTTAACAGCTGTCTGTTAACTATTTGCTGTTCGTGAATATTGCTTACTGTTATGAAGCTGTTACACAAAGTATAGAAATGAGTCTATTATTGTGGTAAATTCAGCAGCCAGAATCTTCCTGCATATTTATATGATGAGTGCTTCTGAGAGACAATAAAGACATTGCTAATTTGTTTGATGTTTGTAAAGAATGCAGCCCGTGATCTGGGATTCATCTCCATAAGATTTCAGGTTGACCTTCTTGGGAGAGTATAATTATAAAGCAGTTTGCTAATTGTAATGCATTTGCAGTATAAGTTTAGAAATGAGAAACTGGGGACAGCTAAAGTTTATCTGCGATCTACATGGATGTAGTTCACATGTCTGACTTTTGAGTGAGGATAAGTCCACTAGTCACCTTAGTTCACACTTTCACCCATGTACCACTTTCAGGTGAGCCTCTTGCAGGAGTAGAATTATAAAATAGTTTGTATTTTGCAAAAAATCTGAAATTCCTTAAAATTTTGCAAATTTTTGCAAGAATCTGTCTATTTCAAGGCATTCATGAATTTAAAAAATAATTTTAAAGCCATCTTTTATATAAAAGTGAAAAGTAGGACAGGCAAAATAAACAGATTAGAATAGATTATTTGAATATAGGAAAGCCATGAGGGCAAGACTGATCCTAGCGGGGACAAAATACACAGGACATGGGCAATGAAATGATTATTAATTGTAAAAAAGAGTGGGCAATTTTTAATCTGGACGTGGGTGGTGGACAGTCAGTCTAGAATTGGCACTGATGCGGGCTCTCTGCCTGAGAGGTGGATTTTCTGAAGGGAACTGACTCATATTCATGTTACTCATATGAAAAACATAAAAACTAGCCATCCAGCCAGCCTGTTCTACCGGGATCGAGCACAAAACAGTTTGAACTACCAGTATTCAGTGCTCTTAACCATCTGACCACTGGTGGGGCTGCAAAATAAATAGTGACTGTAGATAGCAGGTATGTTCTCTAGGTTGGAGCTGTGTCTATAAACATTGAAATAGTGCATTTTATTACTCCGAATTTTATGGAAAAGATAGAAATGAAGATGGTTCTATGCAATTTATTTATTCCGAGTCTCTAAAAATATATTAACTGAAAAATAAACTCAGTTTAGTTATAGAAAAAGAAGTTAATTACGTTATTTATGAAAATTTCAACAAGCTTCACTAAAAAAAGGAGAGAGAAATATATTTGTCTTATTTAAGTGCATAATGATTCATTATTATTATGTAACTGGTTCAATATAATTAATTTTACTTATCCATTTATTACAATTCATTTTGTTATACAATAAAATTAAATCTCTAGATCTTTATTATATTTAATATTCTGTGTAAAACTACAGAAATGAAATTTTGTATATTTTAAGGCATTATTACTGAAGAAGTAAATTCAACATTTGTACCGAATGCAAAAAGTAACATTTATGCATCCTATGTTAAGTTTCTTGAGGCAGGTGGTGCAAGAGTTGTTCCTGTTATGTAAGCAATATACCTTTTTTAATTTTGTTTGCTATTATTAAAATGTCTTTAAATATAACTGTATACAAATATCTGTAATTTGTATATAACTGTATACAAATTTTAATATAACTGTATATATAAGCTGATACTTAAAAAATTCTAAATATTCATAAGTTTAGTAGAACCTTATGCTCTAAATTATGCGTTTAAATACCTGCATGCATAAATTCATGTTAAATAGATCAGAAGGCCTTGTAATAATTAACATCATGAATATTAAATTTAATGAGCAAAGAAAAGATACTAAAAAAAACTGTTCTGTAAATATTTTTATCATTGAAATTATTAATTTTTTTCCAAAATTTTTTGCAGGATATATAAGTCTAAGCAATATTATCGAGATCTTCTCAGCAAAATAAATGGGTGTGTATAATTTAAGTTATTCATTCATGTATATTCTTCACTCTGTATACTTTCATAATTTATCAGTATATATATATATATATAAATGAAATAATTATAAAGTATCAAAACAATTTCATGCAATTTTAGATTTCTAACCCTGTTGTAGTAGTACAATAGCACATCTAATTGTCAGAAAATGTTTATAGCAAAACTTAAGAACTTATTACAGTCAAAAGTCGTTAATTTGGTCACCCATAATCCGGACCTCAAAGCTACAAACTTTCTGCACATGCGTCGCGTTGACGCATGCGCGTAAGACCTTTACCGCTGCGAATTTGCGTGTGCGCGTGCGCAAAATACGTTTACGAATGCGCGTTTAATGTATAACGGACGGGATAAGCTAAGCTAAAATTATCTAATTATCTATTTCAGTTAATGTTGCAGATTGCGTTGTTGCTTAATCTTCGAATTGGATCCGGATTATTATTTTTTGCAGACTGTAAGAGCAATTTTATAAAAGTAAGCTTGAACTTTCGATTATGTCAAATAGAATTTCCAATATATATTTACTAATATGTAAAGGATATACAAAGCGAAAGTATCTTTCGGAGTCCATTAAACAAAAAGTGGAATTGCTGCAAAAAATGGATAAAGGCATATCCTTTGTTTATCTAAACTTTAATGTTTGTTTATCTAAACTTTGTTTATCTTTAACGTGGGGGGCGGCGTGCAATGAATTGGAAGTTGATCTGTCAGCACTATTCTTATCTTAAGGGCAGATGTTTTTATTTTATTTGGCTTATAATTGCTTACTCAATGTAGTATTTCATCTCGATGTACTCTGACATGATTTAAATCAAATGCCTCGTCATTATAATTCGCTTCCGATAGCGAAGAAAGTGACAGAGGTTATTGAAAACGAATAAATTTCGATTGATAAATTAGTCGCAATTATAGGACTTGAACAGTGGAACTTTGTAACTGAACAAGAAATTATGTCTGTTTATAGAATTAAAGAGAATGTATTATCACATAAAAAACGAAGCAACTTAAACAACTTACATTGAAAGAAATGTTTAATTTAAAGTAAACAACAAATAAATTTAAGCTTTTTTTTTGTAAATTTTGATACCCTTTAGATCATAATTGTTCTTTATTTCGTAAATTATGGTTTCATATTTTTAATTTTATAATTTCTGCATGCCATTTTACCAGATTTAAACTGATGATCTATAATCTGGAAAAATCGATAATCTGGAATCGCCGAAGTCCCGACGAGTCCGGATTAACGACTTTTGACTGTGTTCGTCTTTTGAATTTTGTTAGTACAGCTGTTGCAATTTTCATGTTGTATTAACTGTTTTCTGTTTCTAATTTACACAATGATTAATTACAAATGAATTATGAGTTTGATTTATTTGCCAGTTTAGAGGGAAAAACTTTTATAGCTGTAATTACTTTTATATCTGTGTTTACATTTTAAATTATTACTCAAGTTATTAAATTACCTAGAAAAATTTATATAATTTAAATTCTTTTTTGGGTTTTGTACTGTGTCCTATAAATTTTACATTTATTAGATATATATAGCAAAATGAGCATTAGTTGTAATTGTTTATTGTCAAATAATAGAACTATCGTTACATATTTAACAGAAAAAATAAGAATTTCTTTGTATATTTATAAGTGATTTTAAAATTCTGTATACTGCTTTTAAGTTATATATTATTTTTTGTCTCATTTCTTTTATTTCATATCTAATAATGTGTAATTTTTTAGAGTGCTTTTCCCTGGTGGAGGAAACATTTTAAGAAGTAAGGGGTATGGAAGAACAGGGAAACTAGTATTTGATATTGCAACTGAAGTAAGTTTTTTAGAAACATTAAAAAAATTGCTTTGGGCTACTAACAGTATGTTATGTTGTAATTTATGTTTTATTTGGAAATGTGGTTATTTGGCATTCTACATTATGAAAATATGTTAATATTTTAAAAGATTAGCACATTTTTTGTAAAAGCCGAAAGAAAAATTATCTTTGAAAAACTTTCTTTGTTATGTTGTTTGCAATTCTATTTTGACATAGTATTTCCATTGTTGAAAGAAAAAGGCTTTATTATTAAGTCCAAAGAAATATTTTATTGACTGTTATTATCGCTTGTCCAATGTGATCTAATTTTCCAATTTTTGTAAATATAAATGCAGTGAATTCTCTTATAGCAACCATTCCCCTAAGACAATTTTTCTGAATATATTAAATATTTTTGAAATAGAAATAAACACCAGTTTTAAATATTATCTCTCTAAGTTGATTACCTCTCTGGTAATCAACTTAGAGAGAGTCTATTAGCTTTTATCTTAGGAATGTTTTAGTCTATAAAGTGAAAAAAAATGGAATTTTTTATCTTTTTCTTTTAATCAAAATAGTTACTGTAATATGTATGCAATACAGTTACATCTTACTGTATTAAATATATTTAAATGCATACCTGTGTACAGTCTTTGGAGTTTTTTGAGCACATTTTGTCAAGTTATAGTCAGTCAAAATTTTTATTATTAAATTTTTTCATGTTCTTTTCAGTTTATAGAAATTTGATTATACACTGGGGAAATAAATTAAGAGAATTTGCATATTTGATCAGAACTACTGTACAAATTTTTATAAAATTTGGTATGAAGATAGGCTGATATAATATAGACAAAATAAACATTCAACAGTTATAATAGACACGTGTGGTAAGGTCTAAAACAGCGGTTGCAGAAGACGCCAAAGAAATGGGTTAATAGGGGGTATGATCCCCTCTTACAGCCATACAGGCCTCTCATAGCGTGATGTCATGCTGGAACTAAGACAGTTTATCAATTAGTGGCAATTGGTTCATTCAGCAATGCTGTTTTCAGTTCGTAAATGGTTCGTGGAGGGGTGTTGCGAGTTGCAGTTGCCCTCCCCAGAGCATCTCAGACATGCTCTGTAGGGTTTAAGTTCGGAGACCTGGCTGGCCAATCCATCTGGCGAATATCCTTACTCTCGAGAAATAGCTCTGTGTGGCCTCGTGTTATTGTCCTGTATGATGAACTCGGGGCCCACTGCACCCTGAGAAAGGCGAACATAGGGCTCCAAGACCTCATTCCTATACCTCACACCAGTCACAGAGCCTCTGTCAAAGACGTGGAGAGGTGTCCGCCTATTCAACATGATGCCTGCCTAGACCATTACACTGATATTATTGTTTATTTCATGGACATTGAAGGGTAGGTAGCGGGTGCCTGGTTCTCTCCATATAAAAGTACAGAGAGAATCAGTGTATAGGCTAAAACAGGACTCGTCGGTGAACAGAATGGTTGCCCATTGCTCTGTACTCCAATCATTATGCTGCCTGCACCATGCTAATCAGACTCTCCTGTCCATTAGATGTGAGCAGGATGCAAACAGCTGGTCTTCTGGCAAACAACTCTCTCTCATTCAGTCTTTTGGAAACAGTCACCCTTGTTACACGGGTACCTGTGGCTCCATACAGGTCCTGAGAGAGCTGAGAAGCTGTAGCCCCTATGTTACACCTTGCTAAAATGGACAAATAGCGATCTTCTCTGGCTGTCGTGGTTCTTGGATGACCTTACCTAGGCTTTCTCTCGATGGATCCAGTATCCTGGAACTGTTTCCATAGGTTACACGCGATGCTGGGCATTAAACTCTCTACATATCTGGACTTGGGATTAGCCTGCCTCTAGCCTCCCCACAATTTGCCACCTCATTCCATCATCTAAACATTGGTGGTTATGGTGTTTATTACTCATTTTTACCATTCCAATGTGAATTTAACCTAATGCTGCAAGGTAACACCAAGAAATTCGCCAAGGTATTCTAGTGAATGCAATCCGTCTTACCCTCTACACACTTATAAAGTCTGTTTGTGTGCCGGCTCCGCCTACACACATGTGTACGCTTACATATTTGCATTTTTATCTAGAAGCAGTGGTTTTACCTTCAGTTCAGTTCTTTTTATGCAGTTCGATAAAATATGCAAATTCTCTTAATTTATTTCACCAGTGTATAATAAATGTCATTTACTGAATGCAAAAATAAGCAAGTTTTATTTAATGAAGGACTATAAAAACTTTACCATTCTGAATTCTTTACAAATAGTATGAAAATATTAATTCTGTGCAAATACTATGAAAATATGAATATGTTGTTATATTTTCACTTTTTAAAATGCTTTCAGTGACAATATATCTGTAGAATATATGACTATTTTATTTTGACAAAAATTGTTATGATTATTGAAATTATGTAAAATTATTTTGCTTTGAATACAGATGTTATGGTTATTGAAAAGACGCAAAATAATTAAAACAATTCAAATACTGCAAAAACCTTTGTAACTACTAAAGGCATTTGTAAATTAAAGTTTGCAAAAATTGGCATTGCAATGGAATTTTTTTTCAGGGGCTTCACTTCATGATGGTGCCCCTTTATAAAGCTACCAGCACCTTTATGCAGATTGGTTACTGAAAAACCTTCACAAGAACATCCCAGCATAAAGAAGCCCATATGCTTATGTAGATAGTTTTGAATATGAAGAAAACAACTTCCATAAGAATGCGTGTCCTGTTGTAAAAGCAAAGTTTTAGAAGCATAAAATTTGAAGATTATAGGAAAATTTTGTAACATTTCTAAAAAGAATTAAAAAAATTTTAAAAATAAACTTTTGAAAGAATTTCTGTGTCCCATCCCAATTTTTCTTTTTTTTTTTTAATAATAGTGTGCACACTTAGTGTTTTTACTTGTTTTACTAGGTTTATGCATAGTTGTATGCTAAACGTACAATATTAATTGCTATTTTTTTTTTAATTTCATTAATTTGTTAAAATGTCTATTAAAAACAGAAAGGTATAGTTACAGTATTTTCTTCTTTCACACTAGATGAATGATAAAGGCGATTTCTTCCCACTGTGGGGAACTTGCTTAGGTTTTGAGTTATTGAATTACTTAGCAGCGAAGAAATTATGGATGAAAGCCTGTGCAGCTGAAGATGTGCCTTCAAATTTAAATTTTATAGAAGGTAACATATATACTTAAAATATTAATATAGTGTATAAAAATTATAACCATTTGTGAAAAAAAAACTTTGCTTTATATAAGTATTATTTAATTGCACTAGCCAAATATATGTATTTTTAAACCAAAAAATTTTTTTTTAACTGATGACTTTTGATGATAAATATTTTTCCATTTAGGCCCAACAGTTATTAATCCTGAACTTGTAAGGTATTTAATGTTAATTACAGAGTTTTTATGGTTTGAATCTATACTATTACTTCTTTTCATTAGCCCTTACCAGGATGCAAACAAGAGTATTTAAGCAAATGTTTTAATTTAATTATAAAGCTTTTAGCATTTACACTTGTAGCTTTACTTTTTATTTCTCAGCCCAGCACTTGATATTCTGGCATCAGCCATCTGTTAGCTGGAGTTAAATCACACCATTAAAGTTTAAGCCAGCTTAGATAAGACAAATTTGTGTAGTGTCTGATTACCATCTTTTTTTTTAAAAAATTATATCTCAACTTTGTTATTTTAATACTTGCAAGTGGTACAGTTTTATTTGTGCGAACAAGTTGTGCGAGTTTTATTTGTGCGAACAAGTGTATTAGTTTATTAAAATTCAAGCTTAAATCAAAGAGTTTTAACCTTTTTAAGACTTTGCCATACATTTTATCATGGAGCAATAATTTTTTTAGCAGTGTAATAGAGTCTGAAGGACTTTAATATTTCTTAGCTAAGGTCCTTAAACTAAATAAATTACAATGTTACTTTCCTGAGGAACCGTTTTTAATACTTACATACTAGATCTAGTAATTTTCACCAATTTTTAGAGTTCTAGTATGTTTATCATGAGATTTGATATTTTTTTCCTTGGAAGTATTATCATTAAAAATAACAGGAAAAGATTAAACATGTAATGTCTACTAGAAAATGTTATCCATTTGGGAAGCAAAAGAAAATAATACATTTTCATACCTTTAATATTTATTGTACAATATAATTTCTCCCAACACTAAAAAACGTGCCGATGACAAAACGGAAGTTCCATTCTTCTCATTAAAGTTAATAAGTCTGATAAAAAAATCTGTCATTACATTTTTTATTTATTACTAACTACACTTCAATTTCTTTTGTGTGTACAATTCAATTTCAGTTTCTTTTGGTTATATACATTTTAATTAAAATTAATTTCATATTTACTAGAAATGTAAGTTTATAAACAATAAATCAATTTTAAACAATAAATCAATTTTAAATTGGTAGTTCGTTTGGATAGTAATCTCACAGCAGGGTTTAAAAACTATACAGTAGCTCAGAGGCTTCATAAGTTTGCCAACCACTGCTCTAGAAGAACACATGTGCATAAATGCAGTGATAAAGAGAGACGGTCATATGCCTCGAATGAACACGGGCATGCGTGTTGAAACTTGAAGTAACATTATCGGGTAGAACTTTCTGCTAGACCTTATGCCTCACTTTGAGTGTAGTAGAAAATGGTGTTAGAGAAGTCAAATTAACTCCACAATGGTTCTCAATTAAGGCACATTTTGCTTTCTTCACTCAACCAAAATTAGTAAATCTAAATTTCATATTCACATAACCTAAAGTTTTAAATCTAGATGATTATTTTTGGTTGAATATATCATTTGTTTTCTAGTTTCACCTTAAGAAATAAAATGGTAATGAACATGAAGTATTTTATGAAATCCTAACATATTTCAAAAAATGACGATTGGAAAGTTAAAACCAACAATGTTTAGTTAGTTTATTAATGTTATTATGCTTAGTTATGTTATTGTATTTAGCATTAGTGTATTACTCAGAATGTCACTTTTAATAAAAGTATTTCTGATATGTACCTCTGTTTACTGCAAATTAATGTGGTTACCTCTCACATATCTTATATTTTAATAGAAAACATATTCGTTTGTAGGCTTTAAAAACAGTCGTATGTTTCAAGATCTTGATGTGCCATTGGAAAAATCTATGCAAAATGAAAACGTTACTATTAATTACCATCAGTGGTGCTTAACTCCTCAGGTAAAACTGCTTTTAAATTAGAGCAAAGTAATTAATAGCAGTTTAAAATTTATATGTATGATTGATTGGATTTTTTTTAAAGAGGATTCATTTTTTTGTCTGTTGTCTCTAGAAATTTATTTCACTGAATATTTTAATTTAGGATTCTGAAAATTTATAAACTTCTGCTTTTAATGTCACTATTGCAAAATTTTCTATGTGTAAATTTTTTTCATAAAATCGAGCTTTGGGAGTTAAAATGTAGTTGATTATTTAGGTAAGATACTTATCACTTTATTATACAAGGTCCTGGTTCGTAAGTTTTAAAACTGATTGAATATTAACTGTCCGACTCTTGTTATCTGTTTGCAACAAACATAATGATGTAGTAAAAAAACATTTTGATTCTAGTCTGCTAATTGTATTAGGGTGAGTTGAGTTGTTAGGGAAAAAATTATTTGGCATTTGAATGTTATTAATGTTTGTAATGGAATGGTATTTTGGACAGAGATGTGTGATAAAGTTTTGTCTTAAATGTGACAAACCTTAATTGATGCAGAATGCTTACAGTAAAGAATGTCACATTCTAATGTGTTCTTGTGGTTTGGTGGGTTTTTAAGGTGGTAGAGATGACATAAAAGATGATAAAGGAATGGAACATCCTCGCACAGACTAAACTGGGCCAAGCATCAAATCTATCCATGCTGCATTAAATCAAGATCAATGATTAACAATTAGAATGCTTGCAGAACATTTAAGCATTGATTAAGAAACTGTATGTACGATAATTGGATAGGATTTAGGAAAAAAGAACTGTGTGGACGTTTTGTTCTGCATTCATTAATACAGCATTGATAAGTATCGACCTTCAGAGTGCTTTCGATTCTCTATGGTGGCCGGCCATCAAACATGCACTACACCAGGCAAACTGTCCGTCCAACATCTACCATACACTGTGCCACTATCTCACAGAATGCCGCTTAATAGTGATCCATAACAGCGGAATCATCCAAAAAAATCATACATTCTTTTGTTAACTTTTATAGATCATTAAATTATAATTTGTAATAGGCGAGAAGACAGGTTTTTCCTAAAGAGTTCCAAGATAAATTTTTAAGATGATCAGAGTATGAATTGGCCTAATCTCACCTAAGCCAAAGAAAGCACTTTTACAAAAATCCGGGGTGAAGACAATGTTAGTGGGCTTTTTTGGCTGCAGAGAATTGAATCCTGAAAGGAAAGCAATGAATGCAGTGTATTGAATTGGCAATTGAAATGTATCACACATGTGTGTCTAGACTTCCGTGCAAACAAAAATTGGTTCTTGTTGCATGATAGCATGCCATTTTATTCATCTGTTTTTGGCAAAAAAAAAAAAAAAAAAAAAGCAATGTGCTATGCCACCCCTCCTATTTGCTGGGTTTACCACCACCAGATTACTTTTTTCCAAAATTGAAATTAAAGCTGTAAGATTGAAGATATTAAGATTGATTTGAGGATATTAAGCTGATCCAATAAACATTATGAGGGAGCTAAGAGCTATGGAATGGCTTGTGGATAACGCCAACTAATGTATAACTTCGCAGAGGTTATATATAGGATAATTGATTTAAAATAGTTACTGCATTCTTTTTTTTTTTTTTTTTAATGAGCTGAGTTTTAAAGCTTTTTAGCCAGATTGTGTATGATATGTTGTATATTTTCAAAATGAAACTATTAAAAATAAAGGTTTAGTTTATTACTTAGAATGCCACTTTTAAAATCATATATAAATTTATTTGGCATAACTATCTGGTATCTTTTAATTTCATCATACCTTAAAAAGATTTTAGCTAAATCAAGAAAAAAAAAACATTATCTAAGATTGCCAAATTAAAAAAAAAATAATATATATATTTGTAATACTACCTGCTTGCTATATATATATATATATTGCTATGTGATTCACTTATTTAAAGATATACATTTAACACTTACTATCTGTCCTTAAGTTAAAACAAAAAATTAACTGATAGGAATGCAAAACATTTTTTAAGGTTTAAACACCTGATCAAAAAAACATTTTGATTCTAGTCTGCTAGTCATTTTAGGATGAGTTGAGTTGTTAAGGAGAAAATTATCATTTGGTCTTTGAATGTTATTTATGTTTGTAATGGAATAGTGTTTGGGATAGAGATGTATGATAAAATTATTTTTTAAAAGTGGCAGAACTGTTAATGAAACGAATAATTTTCTACTCAAACTATAATTATAGTTTTCAGCTACTACGTTTTAAGATTCCCCTCAAAGAAACTTGTTTTGATCTGTTGCTTTTTTGCATTCCTGCTTAATAACTTTAATGTTAGTGTAGTTGAATCGCTATTTTGCAATTTTAAAATAAAATCATAGGAAAAAAAAATTAGAAAAATAATCAGTATTTTAATGTATTGTTTTTAAGGCTTAAAAGGCAGTAAAATTGTTTCATGTCATGTCTAAATCCCTTAATAGCACTTAATTTTTATTCGACCAACTTAAAAATCAAAAATTAAGCAGCATTAATAATTTTTAACATTATAAAGCTTAAAGTAACCTTTCAGTATTTTTATATAATTCATTCTGTTTTTGTTAATTTTTTTTCCCCCCAATGGCAGATTGCGAACAATTACAAATGTAACCCAGTCCATTAATCTATACAAGGCCGGATATGGTGGTCTCTTTATTATGGAGGCACCTAATAGGTGGGCCACCATCGCCTTTCCTCTGAAGGGATGGACAGTTACAACTACATGGACAGCCTTCTCTGGGATTCGAACCCAGGCCCTTCGGCATCGCAGTCAGCTTCCATGACCACTATACCGATTAGGTGGCTTAAAAAAAATAAAAAAAGGGGGGAGATTCAATTTAAAAAAAATTCTTGAAACGATTAAAAATCTGAGCTGAGCATAAAATATGTTTCACCGTGGAAAAAATTTGCTTTGATTAATAAAATACCCTCTCCCTCCCTCCCCCCAAAGTTAAATTAAAATCTTTTACAGTAGGGTTATTCTGCTTATAGGTTTAAATTACCAGTTACAAATATGCATTGTTTTGAAAAACCTTAAAATTGAATCTTGAATAGTGTCTATAGTTTTTATATCTTTGAAACTATTAACTTTTCATTCATTAATAATTTCATAATGATAATACTTTATAAACAACTATGATGTCTGTAATAGTCTATTTTAGAGGTTTAAATTATGTAAAAAAAGATATTAATCTTCTTTAGCTATGTAGTGCTAAATAATGTTGGAGATTACTGTATACAGAATGATTGAAATTCTGATTTCAAAATCATCTGAAATTTTCTGTAAATACTTGCAGTGCAATGGAATCAGTGCAATGGGATTAAATTTAAGAAACAAACAAGGAGAAAAAAAAAGTAAAAATAATTACTATTGGATGGCACCATGAAGCATAATGGCTGTATCAAATGAACATTTATTAGATGTCACATATGCACATTACAGACATTTATGTTGTAAGAAGAATCATAGAATGTTCTTTATAATATCTGCAAAAAATCTGGATTGTTATATCTTTCTTTGTAGTATTATATATGTTATTAAAAGATAATGCTCTTTCTTAAAAATTGTAATGCACAGTTCTTGTTTAATAACTCTCAGAAAGTCTAACATATTGAAGATGTTAAATTCTGTTCCAGTGTCTGCAACAGCTTGCATGAAATGATTTTAAAATTTCTGAAAAGGCTGTTTCTTTGGGTGTCAAACCTGGCAGACAATGAGTGATGGGAGAATGCAAACACTATCCCTCTGCCATTATAACCTGGCAAAGATGGAAATCATTTTTTAGTCGGATAGTAGGTATAATGTTATACAAAAACAATATTTACCAGTGACATATAAAATGTCAATATCAGTGGTCTACTAGTGCTTATAGCTGTCAGTGACTCAATGCAATCATCTTAGCCTTGAGTGCAATTCAGAAAGGTTTGAAACACATTCTGAAATGTTATCCCTTGAAAAATATCTATGTTCAAGATTTGTTACATTCAAATAAGAAAACCTAAATATTCTTATTTCAATTTCTTTCCCAAATAAAAGTTAATAAACAATTATAAGATTGTTGGACCATATGTCTGTCGTCATTGTATACTGTTAATATGCAAAATTGCAGAACATAAGCAATCACAAATTCATGCACACTACTACACTAGGTGTCTGTTTCCCAACAATCATTCTGTGATCTACATATAATACAGCATTTATGCAGCCTGTTCTTTCTTTCTTTTTTTTCCTTGAGGGACTTAGTCTTGAAGCCCCCCATCACCTGTTTATCAATAACTGTCAATGACAGGCTTTTTTGAAGTACCCCATTATGCTAACACCTTAAGACATCTCACATTATGGTATGAATTTTGATGTCAGTTTATACATATGATCTCTCTTTTCATGTAAGATGAGGCTCTACCACATATTGCAACACCAAAGAAGCAACTACTTTGCAGTCATTTAGGAAATGAAAAACTAATAATCCTGTATCTTGTTGTAACGTGGCCAGCATGTTCACTAGACCTGTACTCATATTGCTTATGGTTTTGGGGATATCTAAAAAAAGTTGCACTTAATGGATAATATGCAAATTTAGCAGAACTGAAAGCTAATGAGACTAATTATGTACATACTATTTCCATAAAAATGCTTGTATATAAAATATATTTATATATAGAATATTTATATTTTATTATTTTGTATAATAAAATTTTTTATGAACACTATATACAGTAGTACTTCATTTGTAATTTCACTATGATATGTATTTGATGAATTTCTTGTGAATATTTATTTATTTTATATTGTATTTCATAAACAACTTATTTAATAGACTAAATTTCATTCCAGAACTATACATTATCTGGACTGAATAAATATTTCAAAGTTCTTGCCTTAAGCCAAGATTCAAGGAATTTGACATACGTATCTGTTGTAGAAGGTATTTACCAAAAATTTGAAAGTTGATTTTCTTACATAATACATTTTAAAAATTTAGTTCGTGGGAGCCATCAATGGAAATGAAATTAACTTGTATTAATGAATGTACATATTTTCAATTATTAGTAGTGTAGTTTTAGTGTTTATTTTTGTGTATGTAATGAACATTTAAAATACGAAGAAGGTAAAGTCGTTTCTCTATGAGGCGGCTCCTGAAGATGGCAATGATAATTAAGTGAGCATACCGGAACAAAATGTACCAAGCCATTAGGACACATTAAAGTTTATTGAGTTTCCTGCACCCTTTCCAAACCTTACACTGCTTGATTTTTTTATGGGGTACAGTAAAATATAAGGTGTACTGTCATAAACCATGTAACCTTGACACACTTTGGAACGACATTCAAGCGGTGTGTGCAAAAATCCCATTGAGCACTTCGGTGCGAAGTATGGAATCAGTTGTGACTCGTACTCAGAAATGTCAGTGCTGAAGACGACCATTTTGAACGATTACTTTAAACACTATTTGGAATGTTCAGTTTAATCAGAAGGTAACTTTTTTCGTACTGAACTATGTACTGAATCTTGTAGGTTGGAAAATGAATTTTCTATGACAGTTCAAAGTGTGTATACATTTTTCTAACGCACCCTGTATGATGATTTTAATGAGTCCAGCTGTGTCAGTTCATAAAAATATTTACTATTTCTAAGGCATCTTAAGATTTAAATGCGTTTTTATTTAAATCAGTCAGATTAAAGAATAGAAAAAATACAGTCAAAAGTCGTTAATTCGGACACCCATAATCCGGAATGATCTATAATCCAGACCTCAAAGCTACAAACTTTCTGTGCATGCATCGCGTTGACGCAGTTGATGCGTTTGACGGATGTAAGACCTTTACCGTTGCGAATTTGCGTGTGCACGTGCGCAAAATACGTTTACGAATGCGCGTTTAATGTATAACGGACGGGATAAGCTAAGCTAAAATTATCTAATTATCTATTTCAGTTAATGTTGCAGATTGCGTTGTTCCTTAATGTCTTAATCTTCGAATTGGATCCGGATTATTATTTTTTGCAGACTGTTAGAGCAATTTTATAAAAGTAAGCTTAAACTTTCGATTATGTCAAATAGAATTTCCGATATATATTTACTAATATGTAAAGGATATACAAAGCGAAAGTATCTTTCGGAGTCCATTAAACAAAAAGTGGAATTGCTGCAAAAAATGGATAAAGGCATATCCTTTGTTTATCTAAACTTTGTTTATCTTTAACGTGGGGGGCGGCGTGCAATGAATTGGAAGTTGATCTGTCAGCACTATTCTTATCTTAAGGGCAGATGTTTTTATTTTATTTGGCTTATAATTGCTTACTCAATGTAGTATTTCATCTCGGTGTACTCTGATATGATTTAAATCAAATGCCTCGTCATTATAATTCGCTTCCGATAGCGAAGAAAGTGACAGAGGTTATTGAAAACGAATAAATTTCGATTGATAAATTAGTCGCAATTATAGGACTTGAACAGTGAACTTTGTAACTGAACAAGAAATTATTGCTTGTTTATAGAATTAAAGAGAATGTATTATAACATAAAAAACGAAGCAACTTAAACAACTTACATTGAAAGAAATGTTTAATAAAGTAAACAAATAAATTTTAAAGCTTTTTTTTTTGTAAATTTTGATACCCTTTAGATCATAATTGTTCTTTATTTCATAAATTACGGTTTCATATTTTTAATTTTATAATTTCTGCATGCCATTTTATCAGATTTAAACTGATGATCTATAATCCGGAAAAATCGATAATCCGGAATCGCCGAAGTTCATACGAGTCCGGATTAACGACTTTTGACTGTACTTTTAAGAACTGCATTTATTGCTTTTCCATCCCTTGGTTTGATACTTAGTAACAGAAAGATTAAATATCTTATGCTTTACTGAATGGCAACATGTGGAGATAAATATTCTATTTCACAGTGACAACACATTGCTTTCAAATACCCAAATGCGTGGATTAAAATTGTAGATAAATGTCTTACATTTTGCCAAATGGCAACAGTCTGGCACGCTGGAGATAAAAATTTTTAATTTTGAAGTGTTGCCACTTCTCACTTTCAAATTGTTGCTCAGTTTGTTAAACAAAAATTTGTTAAATTTGTACAAAATATAAAATAAATCAAAACAAATTTAACATTTGGGCTTCAAGGTGTCTATGTACGGGTGGAGGCCTATGTGTATTAAAAATTTGGGTGGCTGTGCTTTTTTTCACAGTGTGAGGAATATACATATTTACATACAGTTTCTTCATTCTTTAATTTTTTTTTAAAATTATGCCATAATAATATTTGGTGGAAACAATTTGAAAAGTGATTTGGACGTGAAAGTGAGTTTTGAGACTAATAACGCCCCTGCTGCTAATTAAGTGTATAAACTAAACCCTTCAAAAAGTACAAAAACAGAATTTAAATCTTTTTACTTAAGCTGCAGTTAAAAAGTAGTATAATGGAATTTTTAATATTTTGATACTTAGATGCTCACATAACAATTTGTATTGTATGCGATATGAAGTGTACATGCAAGTGAGTTTAGTTATGGTTTTTTAAAATTTTCTCAGTATTTTAACCTGCTTTATTGTAAAACATAATAATACTCTTACTTCTCAAAGTGATTGCATATTTTAATGTAAGTATTCTTTGCAGGGTATAAGTATCCTTATTATGGTGTTGCCTTTCATCCAGAAAAAGTAATGTTTGAATGGGTGCTTTCTAAAACTCATCATAACATACCTCATAATGCTGCGGCTATACGTGTTTCTCAATATTTTGCAAATTTTTTTGTGAATGAAGGTAAGCAACTCTTAGTTGTTTTTGATATTAATATAGTAATCTAAAGTATCTAATGAACTCTTTTTCGGGGAGGTAAAATAGCTATATGCTGACAATCATAATTCTTATGATTTAGCATAATCAATAAATACTCAAAAGCTCTATAAAAGAACTAACTACACAATAAGGTTACTTACATCTATATTGAATAATTACATCTATATTGAATCCAAGATACTTTATCAAAGAGAAATTTATGTAAAATGTTAGTAAAATTTTAATCTTTATTATGAAATAAAATTAGAAAGCAAATAAATTATTTTAAATTGACAGTGATTAAAAATATATTTTCTAATATTACCAAAACGAAGAACATCCTTTTGATTGGATTATAATAAGATAATCAAATTATAATAAAAGCTGCTTATATAGTTCTCCCACTTAAATTTTTAATTAAAAATGTAATGGAAAAAGTTGTTCCTGATTTCTAATTTATGCATCTTTTCTGGATCATCCATTTATTAACTTGGCTTAAGTAGGAAATGAAGTGATCACAGATTTTTAAAAAAATATTATAATTGTGTTCATGCTGTTGAAAAATTTAATTTAACTAAGTATTACTGAATGATTGTAAAACTAAATATTGTGCTATTTAATATTCTAAAGATGAATTTATTAATATCCATTCAGATATAAACACATAGTTCAAGAAAAGCAAAATAGAAAGCTGTGTAGTACTTTTGGAATTGTTACTATATGCTGTAAAAAACCTCATCTTATTACTTCTGTATATTTATTTCAAACAATATTTAGCAGAGTCATAATCATTAAATATAAAAATAAGTCTATAAAATAAAAGACAGTATAGAAATTAATTCTTCAAGTTACTTCCTAAAATGAACAGCTGAAGAAAGACAATATACTTTAAACGTCAGCATCTGAGTTCTGAAGACTGCACTAAAGTGTGAAATTTGCATTCTATTAATTAAATCTGCAGTGCGTTTGATAATTGCTCTTGGTAATTACAATGCTAGTGTAATAATCGTAACTGACCTTTTTAAATAGTCAAACCATATATATTTATGTATGCACTCATCCATATTTGTCCTAATACCTTTTAAATAAAGTGCTTATATGTGCACTCTGAAACGTATCCAAACCATTAAGGCAGTATATGAAAGGAAGGAATCCAATTCATCCCCAAAATGGGAGTGATTTTGAAATTATAACCTAGACAATTATAAATTCTTTTTTTATGGCATTTATAGAAATTTTGGGTTTTCATGCAAAATCTTTTGTTTCTTGGAGGGTTAAAGGTTTTGTAATAATTATAAATATTTATTGAACTCAGAATTACACATGATAATTACATCTATTTTGAATCCAAGATAGGGTAAGGAACTCAGGATCATGATTCTTCATATAACAATGATTGGGATTGGGAATGAAGACACAGCAACATTCAATCTTTTTAGTGTGAAATCATAATTATCAGGAAGTGAAGGATGTTTTTCTATCCAAGATAAGTACACAACATAACAGTTGTCTTCCACATTAACTGTCTGTATAAAGTGTTCCCTCGCAGCTTCCTGGAGTTCATCTTTGGTCTTTTGTGGATGTAGATCAGTAATTCCGAGCAAGTCCAGTGAGCACAAATTCATTATTGACTCATTAACTGATAACATGGAATTGACAAACATGCATTTTTATCTTTTGAGGAATTTAATATACACCAGCACAGTGGCATAGCTAGGATTCCAGCGCCCGGAGACAAATGAAGAATTTGCGCCCTTTTCTGTGTGCCAAGAATAGAAAACATTTCATTAAAAAATTTCGTAGCATCAATTTGGCACCGCCTGGATGCTGCACCCGGGGCAGATGTCCCCCCCTTGCCCCACCCTAGCTACGCCACTGCACCATAGTCCATCCGAGATGCATCTCAGTGGCAGTCAAACCATAGCATAACATTTTAAGACCATTTCCAGCTACATCAGCTAAAATTTCAGTAGGGCCTTGATCATTGTCAGCAATAGATATATTAATATCTGATAGTTCTTTTGCAAAAAGCTCAAGAACTACAGGTAGAACAGTCTCACATATAATTTCTTGGCTTAATACTTTGAAGTTGCATTTATAAGTTCCATCAATACTTGATAAATATAATGTAAACACATCATGTTTACACACCCAAGTGTTGCTTCCTGCAAAAACAATATGTTGCAGATATTCATACCTTCCAGCCTGATATCTCATCTCGTCGGTGGTACTTTTTAAAACATACAAACACTGAGAAGTGATATCAATAAGTGCCCTTGTCGTATGTCTTATCTCCTTCCCTCTCACAATTACGGTCAAGGTTTGCTACATTGCACTAGGGGATTTAGATACATTTGCCAGAACTTTATTTTGCTTAAAATTCCACAAAACAAGATGTGTACTTTCCTCTCCATTAACCTCATCTTGGAGAAATTCTATTAACACATCTATGTCACTCTTCTCAGCAGTGGTCTCCACGTTGCCATTTAGATGTCCAGTTCTACAGTGAGCTGTCTCAAAGTGCTCCCAGCATTTCATCTGGTAATGCTGATTCCATGAGTGGAAAGAATATTGCAGTATATTTTTCTCATATTACTCCTAGAAATTCAAGTGCATGGAGATTAGTTTCAAGTTATATAATTTTCTTAAAGGTTTCCCTGTCACATTTCGTTTGTGTAAAACCAGCACTAATAATTCTCTAACATATAATTTGAATGAGCATTTCCTGTTTCCCAAAACATTTTTATAAATTTTTTAACGTCCTTTCATAACTTTCACGAGTTTGCAGAAAACTTTCTGTCAACTGCTCTGCAACACTACCCTTTTCCATACACTGAGATAAATCGGCGAATTTGTCATGCAAATCCAGATTGGGATCCTTATCAATTTCTTGGAATTGGCTTCAAAACTGTAACCAGTTTCTTACATCTCCATTAAGGGAGTTGTATTTTAGGGTAATGCAATAGTGAAATTTGGCGTGATATGTGGCCATTTTCAAAAGAAATTAAGTTACCCAATAAAGATATTTCTAAAGATTTTAATTTTAGTTGCAATGAATGCCATTGATCTATGTGCACTTCCGATTCATCTTTTTCTAACTCAACCGAGCTTTCATCAATATCTTTACAATAAAGCATTTGTTTAACGTTTTCCTCACAGTTAACCATAATTAGAGTCTTTTCTTATTACTGCCTGATTTCTCTTACAAGCATAATGTGTCAATTAACTGAGAGATTGATTGCTAACAGGTTAAAGTTTGTGCTAGACAAAATTAGTTTAATATCTGAAAAACAATCATTTTTCCATAGACATAGATGCACAGTTGAACAAATTGTACGCTTTTTCCAAGAGGTAAAAGATGGCTTTCAAAGAAGGCAAAGTAGCCTTGCAGTATTTGTGGCCTTTAAAGATGCATTTTTAATAGAGTCTGGAGAGCTTGATTGCTTAGGAAGCTGATTTCCTGTGGTATTTCAGGCTACTTGTTTAAATGGATTAACGTTTTCTTGACTAACACTTTATAAGTATGTTCGTGCTGTGTCAATTTATAGTCAAACCAAACCCGAAGGTCACATGATTTTTAACATAATGATCAATGATTTAATTTTAATTTTCCTATCTTAGCAGATTGATCCAATGCAACTTTTTCACTATTAAATTTGTTATACGCTTTTGTAAATAACCTCCCAAGCTGCGTTCTAGCTTTTTTAAAACTAATTAAAAGATTTCTGTAAGCTTCCATAATCAAGAGAAAACTAATGCAATATGCAGTGAACTCAGAAAGAATGAAAATATTCACTTACTGAGCTCAAAAACACTGATGAATCCTGTTGTGAACGCCAAATGTCTGATGTTGGTGTAAAGACACCAAATCAAAAGAAATATTTTATTTTGAAATTCACAAAACGTTATTTGAAGATGATCATGAACGAGAATCATTTACATCTCCTCAGATGAATATATAACATTTTTAAAAACTTTTATGAAAACCAAGCATTTGAAATAAAGATATTTCAAATGCTGTTTGTGGGCATAATGCTAGGGTAAGCTATTACAGGCCTACTATTAAAATAAAAAAAAGTCAACTGAATCCACCTCAAGACAACAATTCTTCAGTTTTTGAACAACTTTTTAATGCTGATTTCTCTATTGGGTATATGAAAAGCGGCCTTGATGCCATAGTTAAAGGTAAAAGTGCAGGCCCGGATGAAATCCTACCAGAGTTCCTTGTAAATCTGGGAGATTCTGCAAAAATAACTTTTTGGCATTCATTAATTAAACTTGGAGAAATGGCTTGCCAAGTGCTTAGAGAAAGGCGGTGATAATACCAATTCTCAAACCTAACAAACCGGATGAAAATGAGGACAATTACTGCCTGATTTCTCTTACAAGCATAATGTGTCAATTAACTGAGAGATTGATTGCTAACAGGTTAAAGTTTGTGCTAGACAAAAATTGGTTTAATATCTGAAAAACAATCAGTTTTCCATAGACATAGATGCACAGTTGAACAAATTGTACGCTTTTTCCAAGAGGTAAAAGATGGCTTTCAAAGAAGGCAAAGTAGCCTTGCAGTATTTGTGGCCTTTAAAGATGCATTTGATAGAGTCTGGAGAGCTTGATTGCTTAGGAAGCTGATTTCCTGTGGTATTTCAGGCTACTTGTTTAAATGGATTAACGTTTTCTTGACTAACACTTTATAAGTATGGTCGTGCTGTCAATTTATAGTCAAACCAAACCCGAAGGTCACATGATTTTTAACATAATGATCAATGATTTAATAGATACAATTTTCATTTTTATCCCACATGTGAATGCTTTATTATTTGCTGATGATGTGGTGATGAGTACTACAGGATCTGATTTTGCTGGCCTGGAGAGTGTCCTACAACAGGCCTTAAATGTTTTTAAGACCTGGACATATGATAATAATATGATAATAAATACTGATAAAACCCCCTTTCAATTCTTTTCTCTCAGTCAAAACATGACAACATCCAACTTCAGTTTAATGACAAAGACCTAAACAGATCTTTTCATACTGTCTACTTGGGTATTCACTTAGACCCAAAATTAACTTGGATGAAACATGCTGATTCAGCTGTTGATAAAGGATATGCCAGATCAAGACTATTGAAAAGTTTAGCTGGTGTTACTTAGGGCTCAACCCAAGATGTCTTGTGTGCAGCTTGTAAAAGTTATGTTCGTCCTGTTGTTGAATATGGAAATGAGGCTTTAATAACTGCCTCAGACTATGTTAAAAACAAGCTTGACCTGTTCCAAAACAACGTGTTGCACTTGATCATTGGTGGCACTAAATCAACCCTCATAGTTGCTATGGAATTTCAGACTGAACTAAAACCGTTAAGTGAAAGTTGCCAAAGGGGTGCCATAAACCTTGTTGAAAAAAATCTTATGAAGAAAAAATAACTTTCTAAATTATTACAGACCACCAAACGAAAGATTAAAAACCCACAATTCCTTCCTTTCTACAATTTCATGATCTTTATGATATTCTTACACCCAATTGCCAGGTTTTTCCTCAGGAATTAAATTCTGTTCTAGATCAAACAATGTTGGAGGGCCACCTGGATCTTGTTTGGAATGTCAATAAACAGCTCTCCATACAAAATGAATTAAAAAGTGCTGCTCTGGCTACTATATATAGTAGGTACCCTCCTAAAGATTTGCTCCACTGATGGTTTGGCAGAAGGCGCTATAAAAAACACTGTTACTGGAGTATATTCAAGTATTTTCAGTATGTTGGGAAATACTCTGACAATTTTGATGGAGAGATAGCGGCAATATCATTTGCAATTGATAAATTGTCCTGATCCCAATATTGTGTTTCTCATTAATTCTCAAGCTATATTGTCGCTTGTGAATTCAAAATACAATGAGAATGCACATATTCATACTTGTAGAGAAAGGCTTGTTGAACTTAGGAATTCTAGAGAAAACATCACCCTCCAATGGATTCCGAGGCCTTGTGCCATTTTTGGTAATGAGAAGGCTGATAGACTTGCTAAAGCTGGTTCTCTAATGATTCAACCTGATTCTCCTCAGCCTTTGCATAACATTAAAAGGATTGTAAACAATAAAATTTTAAGAATAATAGAATGTCCTTATACAGAGATGCAGTTGTGGGTAAGAGGTGGAACATCCTGCTTAACAAAAAGAATAAAATTCCCAATTCTTTGCCTCGATCTGTTGGAATTGCTTGTTTTCGAATGCTAACTGGACCTGATTATTTACAAAGGCATTTATGTCATATCGGAATCAAGGATTCAGCTTGTTGCCCTTTACGTCATCAGGGTGACATGGATGGCAACCATCTCAAGAACTGCCCCATTGTTTTAAAGTTTTTTAATGACAACTCTTTTGATGCAGCTTTGATTCTCATTTTCATTCTTCTTCATTTTACTGGGCTGCTCGTCACTTAATGGCAGAAGTGCCACAGATGGGCGTAGGATTAAAAAATATATATATATATATATATATATATATCATTCAGTACAGTCTCTAATATTTTTCTAGCATTCTCTAAGGTACATCTAAAAAATTACTATAAAACTAAAATTCTCTTACTCTCAATAAATATTAGTCACACTACTCTTAACCAAAATCAAAATATCATTCTAAAATTCTTTGAACTAATGGGGAAAGAAAATTTCACCTGTTGCCACTAAAATGTAAGTGAAACATAATTAAAACAACAAGATTATGTTTATACTGTCACTCGCATATTAGATGGGGAAATGTTACATATTAGATGGGGCAGTTTCCAACAATACATTTTTTAAAATTATGTCACAAGTATTTGTATTTATACGATCAAAATACTGTTTTAAATGTGCAAGGAATGAGCCTTTTACTGAATTGTAACTTGTGTCTACTCTTCGAGAAGAGTGTAAGCACCTTATCGCTATATTTTCAGAAATACTGAGAAGGGTGTAAAAGAGCCTTTATTTCAAAACTAAATAAGATGAACAGAAGGCACACCTGTTGCTTGTAAATCAGCCTGCTTTTATGGTGAGAACTCAAAATAGAAATATAGTGTAAAACTTAATCTAAATAGATAATAGCCAAAAGCTACACAGAGTAATTTAAATACAAAGTTGGCTTTTAAAGCTCCGCCTGCGTGTTTTCTTAGAACAGCACACTTAGTAACATGGCCTTCACTAGGCAAAACACGCTCTGACTAAACCATCTCAAACCCTCACTTAAATATATGCAAGCTAATTTGCATTCTGGTGAGAAAATGGAAAGGGAGAAGTGACAGTAAAAATTCTTAACATAAAATAACTGGTTGCACAAATTAAATAAGCTTGTATTTTTATATTCTCTAATATTTATATATATATCAATAATTATAATTCACTACTGTTGAAAAATAAATTCACAGAGGTTTTCTTTCTTTTTTTTTTTAGCAAGGAAAAGTACTCACAAGTTTCCTAGCAAAGAAATGGAAGATTCTGTTCTAATTTATAATTATAATCCAGTTTTCACTGGCAAGCATGGAAACAATCCTGTTGTTCAAAATTATTACTTTACCTAAATTGTATATTTTTCTATTTAGCTAACATAAAACTCTTCATAATAGCAGAATAATTTAATTTTACTATATTATTTGAAAGCCATTTTAACATTTATAATTCTACTGTCTGCCCCTTAAAATTTAATAATTTGATATGAATGAGGACAATAAATAAATTTAAGAAAAAATGCTGCATTCTTTAAATGTGTTTTTGAAATGAAATGCTGTATGTATGTATTTTTTCTAAAATTCCTAAAATGTATCTTTAAATATTTGGTGCTACTTTGGTAGACGGTTGCACTGATTTTTGATGATTTACATTGGCGCAATTGTTGGTGCGGTTTTTACAGTCGTCGAACATCTTGAAAAATGCTGTTTTTATGTATTTTACGCATATAGTAAAGTATTCGAAACTTTAAAAAAATAAATATTGTTAAAAATAATGGATCAATTTTTTGTTGAAAACGTTTTTTAAGATGGCTGGCAAATGTAAATAAATACATTTACTAAGAGTATAAAATGCTAAAGTAAGGTTAAATTATTACTTTCATATAAGAGAATAAAAACACTGCTATAAAAACATTGTGCCAACATTTAAAGAATTAAAATTACTTACATTTAAATCCTTTAAAATAATTTATAGGATTAATTATTTAACATTAAAAATATGTGGGAATAAATCTCAGAATTTTGAAAATGTATTAATTTTTTAATAAAATTGAAGTATGCAATTATAAAGTAAAGAAAATTATGTACTTATATTTTTTAAAGTATTTTACTGTCATATATTGATAAGTACCACAAAAAAAAAATTATTTCATCTGTGATCCACATCTCTCGCACTTCATTGAAGCAGCAATTAGCGAGATTCATCGAAAATTTAAAAAAATTTCCTCCTGTGCTTGTGTAACAATTTATAAATAAATCTTTGATTAGAAAAGCCAGGTTGGCCAAAATAAGGTCTCAAAGGGCAATTTTTTTATTCCGATACCAATAATTCTTGGTAATTACCAAGAATAACATTCATCTTCGAAACGGACATATCCATTGCATTTGAAATCTGAGGAATTCGAAGAGATGAATAATAAAATTTTAAAACGGCGCGGTAATGTACAAATATTCAGTAACCAATTAGGGAGCTGATTACATCATGCATCGAATAAAATTATTTAAATAATCATTCTAATAAAATGATTTTAAACAAATGCAAAATTAAATTGTATTTTATATTTAACGCCATAAATAATGTTTGAAACATTAAGATTAAATTTGTAGATATTAATAAAACCAATTACTTTTTAAGTAAGGTGACATCATTGATTACATCTCCACAACATAAATATCATAACAACAAATTTTTATTTCAAATAAAAATGCAAATTAAATTGTTTTTAATATTTAGAAGTCATAAATAATATTTAAAACACTTAATTTATGCATAATAAAACACATCATTTTTAAAATAAAATGACAACAAAGTATCGGTTACCATAAATAACTTGTCCAGCAATGGGTTTACCATAAGTCGTATCGCTCACCAAAATCTTTGCAACCATCTACCAAAGTAGCACCAAATATTTTCTACATCTTGCTTGGATGCAAAAGCTATTTGTCATAAGTATTAATAAATTTAACTTTCTGTACAATTTTATATATATATATAGTCTGGTCAAAGACTTCAAGGATTCCATTAATACAAGAACAAAAAATACATCTTTTTCTGAATACTTTACTCTTTTTGGATAATGGCACTTTGTTTTTTACAGATTGGCAATTTATATGTTAGTCCTTTGGTAGCACTGTCATGATATAACATTACTTTATATTGTCATATACTTAAGATGAAGCTAAGTTTAAAAAAAAATTCCTATGCATTTTCTCTTAAAAATTTGCAGAACTGTACATTCTATATTTCTCTGTACCTTAGAAATGTTGAAAACAATCCCCAGCTCATTGTTGGTGTTGTTGGTACTTATGATTGCTACATATTCCTTTATCAGACCCTAGATGTAAAAATGTATTATTTGCATACTTGGAATATTCTGTTTAAATTGATTTATTTTTGATTAAATGACTTTCTCTCTTCAAATGAAAATTGTTGAATTATTGGTGCCTTCATTATTTTCAGTGTTTTTTTACAACAAATACGATTACTAAATTCCTCATCCTCATCAAATAACAAATCTTCAATAATTTCAGTTTCTGCTTGAAGCTCAATTTATTTTTCATAGTAATAAACTCTTTTGCTGGAAAAAAATAATAGTAAAAGTACTTTTAAAGAAAACGTAATGGGAAGTAGTAAGTGTGAAACAAATTTTTAAGCAATCTAAATAAAATAATTCAAACATTGTTTTCATGTTAAATGATGCTCATCACAAGTTGAAATTTTAGTTAATCTCTGCATTTGTAAAATTGACTAATATGAGGATGTGCGTGAACTTCCAGAAATCCCAAATTAGTATACTCTTTTGTTTAAAACAAAAGTATAAATAGTTTTGAAGGGAAGATAATAGGAGAAGACAGGCAAGAATTTCAGCTGCTTAAAAGGGGGTAGGATTGCAGAAAGAAGAGATTTCTCAGATCTTTAGTTGGAATAGGGCCCTTAGATACTTATTGCGTATCTTCATGAGTTATTTTATACATTCCTATTAATAAACTTATGTTTTTATGCATTGTTTTGTAGTCCTCATGTGATTGTAAAAGTGAGGGCTTACTATATATTTTTGTCTTCTTGAGTTTTAGATAATTCCAATTTTAGCACAACATAAAGTAATCTGATTGTTATATATATATGTAATGAAAAGATATTTTTAAATCTGGATTGCATTCTTTGGTTGAAAAGTATTCCATTTCTGAAGTTTCAGCTGAGATGCATTCTTGACACTGTCTGATTATCAGAATGCTTTTTTTTCCCCTGCAGATACTCTTATTGTAATATTTAGACAGCATGCAAGTATTTGCTTTACAGTCACTACATAGCCAGTATAGTAAAGCAACAAATTTCCTCCCCACAAAGGTAGAAATTACTATTTTATTTTATGGCCTTTCCAAAAATTATTTTCACAAAAGTAGTAATTCTAAAAGTGAAGATAGCAAGAAGATTTCACAGCTTTTTGTTCATTCTGAGTTTTCTTACATGGTTTTCTCAATCCTGTAACTACTGGGGTATCAAGGTTTCATTTTACTGGCTCAAGCTTGTAAACTTAAAATAAATTACTCTAAACTACCAATTTTATACTCAGAAAAATGTAGGTCTCTTAATAGGAGACATTAAACAAGTTCTTAGCACTGTTTTATATGTTTTTATATTGTTGTGACTTAACATTGTGTTATATATTTTTATAGTGTTGTGACTTAACATTTTTTTATATGTTTTTATAGTGTTATGACTTAACATTGTTTTATATGACCATGTATTTGAAATAAAATCTTTCAAAAATATCATTGCAGATTTAGCACATGCAGAGTTAAGGAATTAAAATATATTTGCACATGCAGAGTTAAAGAATTAAAATATATTTGCACATGCAGAGTTAAGGAATTAAAATATAGCTAAGTCAGTGCTTAAAATAATAAATAATAAATAAGTATACAGCAAATTGTTATTGATTCTACAACAGTCAATGAAATGCTTTGCTAGGAAATTGTAATAGAGAAGCTTGTAAATGAATTTTAATGTATTTTGCTTTTTACAGTTCAGATAGTTTTCTTAATAATTTTTAATAAGAATGTTGGCAGCTTTATTTGTTTGTGAATTTTTTAATTAAAATTGTTTATATGAAATTTATGTCATTAATTTTTTCTGAAAACTTTCACATGCATATTTTACTTAATACATGCATTATCAAATAAATACTTTTTTACATGCAAACATATCTGAACATATTTTGATAAAAATTAGATCTTTTTACACAAATAATAATACAATTTTTTTGGTAAAAACATTTCAAAACAAATAAATCAGGAATATTTCTAAAAATTATTATTTTACCAATACACGAATACAAAAATTTTGAAGATTGACACAAATTTTAATTTAATAAGTTATTTTATGCAAAAAACTTAAGCAAAATCGTCATTTTTCCTCACTAATTTTAAAATGTACATTTGCTCTGAAAAATATCATTCTCAGCAGTTCTCATAAATCAAAAGTATCGAAAACTTAAACTAAAGTTATGCTTTATATAATAACAAATTTTATTTAATTTATAAGATTTATAAATAACAAAAGGTTAGTTTTTAGTCCAAAGCGCTTTGTCCCCGAAGGACTATTGTTTTCGTTTTTCGATGAATCACTATAAATGTCCGTTTCACTTTTCAAACTGTTGCCACCAAATGTTAGAATCCTGCATTATATTTGAAGAAATTAAATAATGAAAAATCTGCATAAATGTATGTATATTTCTTGCATTGTGATAAAACAACGGTACGCAGAGTCATCGAATTTTAAATGATGTAATCCTCCTACGAATATGGGCATGTGGAAGATCAAATTTGAAATTTGTTTTCTTATCGGTTTCATATTTTGTAAAACTTTAACGAATTCAAATCGAGCAATGGCAACACTCTACGGGGGGGGGGGTCCTTTTTATTTCCAGCGCCCTGAACTGTGTATCAGAAATTCTAAAGATATGCTTATTTTAAAATTATTTTGGGACATTGCTATTGAACTGAATTTTATAGTTTAAGTGCAAAGTTCATGATATTTAATAAATAAAGGTAACACACAAAATGTTAAAAAAACACACTTTTGGATATAATTCAAAATCTGAAACCTTTGATTTTTTTACATTTTTTGTAGTCTGCCATTGTGTTTTTATCTTATTAAAATCATTAAGCATTAAAAGTTTTATAAGATCTAGTATTCCTTTTATTAATCCTGGTGCTTTGTACTATACAAATACAAGGACTGACTACTTGCATTAAATAGTAAAATTGTATTATAAATAAAAAAAATGGATTTTTACCAATATACTAGATATACTAAATTCAAATTAAAATTTGAAAATCTATTGGAGTGCATTTAATAAAAAATTATGACTCTTTTAATATGAGTGGTTTACCTATATTACAG